CTTAGAAGGTTCCCGACACAAAAAAAAACTTTTAAATCTTGGTTTGAAAAAAATAGGTAAAAAAACTTTTTAAGTTAAACGGTTTTATGTTAAACATACATTGCAATGTTTAAGATAAATGTACTAAAAACCAAAAAATAATAAAATAGATACAGTCGTGGGAATTATAAACATATGCATAGACTAGACTAAAATAAAACCGTGGGGCACGTCAATTGTCTACAAATTATCGACTTAATGTGCGATAGAAGAATAGTTTAATTCGTCGTTAGGCAGTTGGCCCGCAGACGGTGAGGAAATTAATTTTCTTGCTCATGGAAATTCCAATAGTTATACACTCCATGTAAATAAAAGAGATGTTTCAACTAGTTTATCGTTGGACATTCACACTGCTGGCTGGCGAGGAATCGTTTCACTGCTCGTAGTTTGTCTTTAATCGACAAAACATATGATAAAAGTACTACTCGCTCACCACTATGAAACCCTAAAACTCGCTTATAATCGAGCTTGCTAGCTTGTTTCCACATTCTAGCCCTACTTATCACACGTCCATCGTTGTCGGTTGAACAACTGCCTCATTATAGTGTAACATTACAAAACAAACATTTTAATCAACGATTGTAGACAATTGACGTGCCCCACGGTTTTATTTTAGTCTAATCCATGCATATGTTTATAATTCCCACGACTGTATCTATTTTATTATTTTTTGGTTTTTAGTACATTTATCTTAAACATAGCAATGAATGTTTAACATAAAACCGTTTAACTTAAAAAGTTTTTTTACCTATTTTAATTTTCTAGTTTTTAGTTTTTATTTCGCATTCTGTTTAATTCATTTAGTGCTTCATTATTGCAAGGTTTCTTGCCCGTTAGTTTATTGCAGTCCAACTCCTCTATACGTAGACCCTGCAAAGATCTTACTCTACTAAGAGCCACGTAGGCTTTGACCTTCTTCAAACAGTTTCGCACCTAAGTATACGACTGCGTGATCCACAGTGCTGCCCTGTATTTTATGTATTGTAGAAGTCCATGATAGTATTAAAGGCAACATTCGTCAACTCCGTCTCTTGCGAAATCAATTCGGACGGAAGGTACATCTGTTGCATACATCTGAGTTCGACGAAATTGAGGCCAAACGATTTCGTTGATGTAGCCTTTAGCGCCATTTACTAATCCCTTTGAAACGTCAATATTGGACCGTAGCATGACTTTTGCCCCCACAAATATTTCCAGTTCCGCTGGTAAACCCCCAGTTTTGTTGATATCAGCTGGTATTATAGTAGCTATATCCACATTGTCTGCATTTTGTGTGGCGTGTACTAGCTGATCCTGCGCTTTTATTTTGTAAATGCGAGCACAATTATTTCTGTACAAATTCAATACAGCAGAGTTGTGGTCGTTAACTTGTTGATTTGTGGGGTATACCCTTAACGCTTTGTCTATTGCAAACTCATCACTCGTGTCTTGAAGAAGTCTTCCCATTAAAATACTAAAATGTTGGGTTGTTAGCTCACCGACTCTCAAAGCATTCAAAATATCAATAAATATTCTTCAGGCGTTTCTGACGCTATCATCTGTGTGTATCGCTCACGTTGCTTTGTTAACCTGGCTTCATATTCTTCAGGCGTTTCTGACGCCGTCATTTGTGTATATCGCTGACGTTGCTTTTTTAACCTGGCCTCATATTGCTCAGGTGTTTTTGACGCTAATTGTTCCCGTCGTTTCTGTAATCGACTATTTCTATCACCTTCACTTTCTTTAGCTCGTTTTGCTTTATACTTTTCTTTCGCTTTTTGAAGCCTTCGTTTACGTTGTGTTGCAGTTTCTGTTTTATTTGTGTTTGTATTTTTTATATTTTTTTTTACCATTTATTTCCCACGAGTAATGGACATTTAAACGGTCGACCCCCCCAGAGGTCCAATAAAGGGGCAAGGCTATGTACAACAAGATGCGCCTGAGTCTTGAGGGGAAAACGCTAACGACATATCATTTTTATCCACCCTAATGCCATACAGTCCTCGGCGCGTTTTAACCTTTCACCTTAACTTGGGTGGTGTACCGCTAACGACGTATCATTTTTAGCCACCCTAACGCCACACAGTCCTCAACACGATACAAAATCTTGACTTGGGTGGTGGATTCAGGCTGGATTAATCAGATACCTAAATTACAGATTCAATTTCTAAATTTAAATCTTATTATTATACGCCATTTAGTGGATGCGCCCATCTTAAATATTGAGGTTGTATAGTGCACTGTATTCTTCCTGTCAAGCCCTTTTATTTGATACCCATATTGGTGGGATTGATAAAAAATTGTTATCAGCCATTTGGTAGCGGCGGCCATCTTAGATTTCAATAAATAGTATAGTAAATTGTATTCATATAGCATAATAAATTGTATTCTACTTGTTGAGACCTTACATTTGATACCCATATTGATGGGATTGATAAAACCTACGTTATCCGCCATTTTGTAGCGGCCGCCATCTTGGATTTCAATTTTTTATAGTATATTGTATTCTGCTTGTTGAGCCCTTTCATTTGATACCCATATTGATGGGATTAATAAAACATAAATTATCCGCCATTTTGTAGCGGCGGCCATCTTGAATTTATAATGATAATGAATAAACATAATTGTATTGTCACCAAAATCCAAAGTGTATACAAAATTTCAGATTAATCGGTTGACAGGAAGAGGGTGAAATTTGAATTACTAAATTTGACCCAAGAATAAAACAACCGGGGTGAGCTAAAAAAAACCGTTTAAAAACGAGCATGGATAAGGGTAGATTTACCAAACTTTTGTCTTTGATTTTTTTCTTCAAGTGAAGGCCAAGGCAACAATCAAACAGCCGCTGCCTAGGAAACGAGATGCATCCACGACACATATCTACACTCCCTACGCTCCCTAAGTGGAGGAAAAGAAAATACCTACCTAAATCAACGAGGGACTTTAATTTAAAATAAAATGCAGTTTTTTATATTACTTTGGAAAAGTGCCTGATGAAAAGTTAATTCAAAATTTAACACTGCAAATTGCACAGGGCCATCCATCACAATAATTTAAAGTAACTGATTAGTTTCTTTTTTTTTATAAGTTGAGCCGATTTTTAAGTCGAATGAAAAAAAGAAATTAATCTTTCAATGCTACCAACCCAACCCATGAAGTTTGACAGGTACGTTGACACAAAGCGGTTCGATATCATAGACAAAACAGCTGTCCTACGGGTGTCAGTAATATGAGTGTCAGTGTCACACCCTGCCCAAAACCAAACATTACAAATGTTATTGTGTAAAAGGTATTTTCTAAAGATTTACTAAATCCTGTATAATATATCCATTTTCTGTTATAATATCTAACAAGAACTGATTCTTTCACATACGTTTCTTTAAAATATTCTATATCATTTTCTGTTTTAGGGTCGTCCGCTGTTGTAATATTTTCATCATGTTCGTCATTTCCAAAGTTTTTGTTATCTATATCTGTGTCTGAGTTACCACCTTTCCTTAGTTGAATGGCTGTTTTCAATTGACTTTGACTTGTTTTTCTTGAAATAAATTGACCTGTACTTTCGTCTAATATAAATTCGTAAGGGTTTTCGTCATGCAAAGTATCTTTTTCATCGGTATCAGTATCAGTTCCTTCTGAAATATTTTGAATATCAGATTCTTTCAATATATTCTTGTTTAGTTTTCCTTTAAATTCTTGTATTTGCATAACCATAAGATAATTTGTCACTCATAGGTCCGGTGTCAGAATTTGTATTTTTCTCTGTAAATTCAGCTTCACTTACATTTTCCTCATCTTCTATATTAAATATATCTTAATCACTATGTGTGCTTACACTGCCTGATACTTCTGTATCACTTAAATATGTACATTTTTATCTCTTTGCTCGAACAGTACATACTGTTTTAGTCTTCCTATTTGCCTTTGAATTCCTCTTTGTCTTTTCATTTGAACATCCTGGTATTGCAACGTCTTTGTTGTTAGAGATCATGGTAGAATTACTATTTAAACTACCGTTTTTTATGGTCCATTTTTTGTATTTTTTTTAGCTTTCCTGATTTTTTGCAGCTTTTTTCTTGTCAAGTGTAACTTCTGAACTTTTTTTCTCTTCCAACAACGTGCGTGTATTAACTTTTGCGCCTCTAGTTACACGTTTCATTTTCACAGCTTTTTTCTGCGGATCATTGCGAAACACAAGAGATTATTTTAAAATTTGGAGCAGGCTTGGTTACGGGAGTAGAATTAAATTCATTTTTAGAAGAAATATTCGCAGAAACAGAATCATGATCAGTAGTCTCCTTTCTTTGTATTTCGAAGGTGATTTCTGGTCGAGGGATGAATACAGGGGAAGAAGTAATTTTAGGAAAGTAAACTAAATTCTCTCGACTGGACTGTAGAAAGGCGGCTTTTGAAGTTTCTTCAAGTACGGCTTCCGAAGCAGGTGTGACTTGCTGAGAATTCTCTTCAGATATTGTATTAATGTCGGCTCCTAAAGAAGATAAAGTTCCAGAAGTAGCAAAATCAGTCGCGGTAGAATCGGAAATAATTTCGAAGAGAGGAGTGGCGTAAACTAATCTCTGATTAATCGCATTTAAACATAACTGTTGAAGAGTTTCAGAGTCATGGTTTTGAAAATTGAATGAATTTTTTGCTTCAACATGCTCTAACCATCTTTTGTAAGCTGCCGGCTCATATTTATGAACTGGGATTACATTTGCATTATATGGAAATATACCAGCTTTTTTAAAGCCATTTTTTATAATTTCAGGTTTAGTTTTATGCCAAACATCTGCAAACGTTTCAGAAAACTCTCCTTTCTGCAATTTCACACCAATATTTTTACGTAGCCATCCACGAACTTTTTGTCCCAAATTGATTTTACTGACTTGAATACAGCTAAGTCGTCATCATCATCAACAGCCTATCCTAGTCCACTGCTGGACATAAGCCTCTCCAATTGCACGCCACTCAGATCGATTTTGGGCTACTCGCATCCAGCTCCTGCCAATCCGCATGTCATCTCAGGCACTGTGGGATCGACGATGTCAGGACTTGACGTAGCTTCACAAACGCTGCCCAACCTAGCTGAATTCTTCTATTCACCTCGTCCTTAAAGTTGTTAGGTCCTAAAAGTCAGCAGAGCAAAGTGAGCAGAAATCAATAAAACTATTTGGTGCTTGCAGGGCCTATTTAGTGCTAATTAAGTGCGGTATTCCAAAATTAATTGCGTTTCTTTTTTTTCTGCTAATGACTGCTCTGCCAGCTTAAGATAAAGCTGAAAAATCAGTTAAATTAAAAAAAACTATTTGGTGCTTGCAGGGCGCATTAAGTGCTAATTTAGTGCGGTATTTCAGAATTAATTGCAAAAATGTTTTTTCTAATAATGGCCGCTCTGCCAGCTTTTGATAAAGTTAACAGAGCAAAAGCAGAAAATCAGTCTTATTGAAAAAATACTATTTGGTGCGTGCAGGGCATATTTAGTGCTAATTAAGTGCGGTATTTTGAAATTAAAACATGCTTTGTTGCCCATTTTTTTAAAGATTAATAAAGATGGGCAACATGAAAAGGTTTCTTTTCTTCTAATTTCTTTGTTTTTCATGTCGTCATACTCAAACCAATCATTAATCCTTGGACAAATTGCAGTTAAATGGCCGACTTGATGAATTAAGCTTTCATGACTGTCCCCCGATCTCCGTTTTATTGGCCTGTAGGGTCTTCGAAAATTTACAATTCCTGCCCAATTGTAGGTGACTTCCTCATTTTTCAACACCAAATACAAATTATTAGGTACTTTCTGCAGTTTTACATTAATTAGGCTTCAGATCAGCATCCTCAACTTCGAAAAATATAAGTGGACCTGTAAAAACACATGTTATACAATATTTCTTATTCTGGAAAACATTATTAATGAATAAAAAAAATTAGACTGTATTTGGTTTCCAAAATTAGAAGAATCTCATGAATTTTAATAATTTTGTGCTAGTATAGTTATCATAGCTGACTACGACAATATACTGTGCACTTTATTTTTATAAAATCTCTCCCTCTCCTCCTCTCCTCTCCCTGTCATCAGGTACTCGGCGCATGAAGCGTCTCACCTGAATAACATTTTTCAAACTACCTATTAATAAAAAAAAAAATATTAGACAAATCTATAGGTACATATTTCAGCACACCAGTTATTTCGGTGTCTGATGCCGGAATTGTTGCGAAGAGACTTAGCTCTTCTAGAAGTTTTTTATTAGCAAGGAAAACATTTGCATTGTTTGGCAGATCAAAAGTTATTCCAATTTTATGTTTGTTAATGGGTCTCAGGTGTAAAACACCCGAGACGCAATGCTCTCTAATGGCATGGGAGAGCGCTAAACGATCCCTATCAGAAAACGGGGCGTAGAGTCAACATTAGCAAGAAACACTATAAATTCGGTTTTCTTCGAGTTTTCTGGATATCTACGAGAATACCCTGGAACCTTATAAACATCATATTTCTTTTCATTTTCCTCATACTCGGAATTAAGAAGAGGAGCATGTAGATGATATTTTTTCGCCTTACCCATCTTATAAACATGTATATACAATAAAAACTTATTTATGCACAAAAATTCAACTATTTAGTAAGATATATACACTAGACAAGTATTATTTTAAATAAATAAATTCAATTAATAAAAAGGACGCCTTTCTCCTTCGAGTTTCCCGAGCGCTTGGAATAGTTTTTTTTTAGAAGCGTCATAAATCAACGTTGACATTTATGATGTTGTCATATAAAAAAAATGAAATTAAATCGATTCAGGTATAATCGATTTTTTTATATTTGATATAAAGAATTTGCACTAAAACATAGTGCTTTGCAAGGTAAATCATTAATAATTTTTTAAAAGATTACTGATACCATGTCTTAGCTGAATATATTTTATTTTTATAATAGGTCATTCCTTATCGATATCTTATTAGCGATTAAAGATTTCTATTGCATATTTTCGCAATGAATAATTCAGTAAACGAAGCTACTGAGTACACGCCCTCTTTCTTAGTGTACGGTAGTGAGTTAGTGTTATGCGGATCGCACTATACGGACTCTGACTTAGGTGACGAAGTTTTGTTCTTACCACGCGAATTATACGCCGAAAACCGGGTTGTCTCTCTTCAGTATAATGATGTGCAGGCCTCATTGTGAAATGCACATGTGAAGAATACCACACACTATAATTTGCGCAGAAAACAAGCGGAATACAACGTAGGTGACGTAGTCTTTAAGAGTACATACATATTGAGCGATAAAGACAAATACTTCAGTAAAAAGTTGGCTCCTAAATACATTTAATGTCGTGTAATTGAAAAACGATCGCCACTTGTATATGTCCTAGGAGATATGTCCGGAAAAAACATAGGTGTTTGGCATATCAAGTACTACTTAGGGTGTCAGCATGAGTCAATAGCTTTATAATAACTACTTGTGGAACTAATATTTAAATCCCCCGCCTTTCCATTTGTTCAACCATAATATTGCATATACACTCTGTGGTTCTTTTTTTTTAAATATATTCTCTATGACTCTGTGGTACAACGAGTGTTATAATTTATTCGATTCCTTTATTCAATAATAAAGTTATCAGGTAAAGGGCCCAGTAGAGCCCAGTTGTAAAGAAAAGTGTTTGCAAAGTTAATTATAGGCATAATCTCTAATTACAAACAGTTTCGAGCCGACAGTGTACCGACATTGTAGCAATTTTCGCTCTCACCAACCAACCCAGGGGTTTTTGCATGAAACTAAAGACTAAATTTTTATACTCAGGGCGCCGAAATACTGATATTTGTGGGAGTTAAATAAAAATCTATAACCGGAGTGAACAAGATCTATATACGAGTATGTTGTCAATATTCAGAAGATATTTCAACATACATTGACACTCTTAATACTATTTATAGATATCTTTGTATATCTATATATATTAAGCTTTTACAAAATCAAGGATTAAGATTAAATGATGTACATATAACCAATAACATGTTTAAATGTTGATATCTTTAAGTTAACATACTATATAAACATTTGGTTTTATAAACTGACAAACAATGTGATATATACTAATTTAAATCCTTTGTTATGTTCTAAGATACTGAAATTTTGCTATTCGGAGAATGCACTGGTTAAGTATTAAGTAGGTACAGATTTTACTGAGCTTTTTCTTTAAGACCTTGGTACCATCAAGTAGACTCAAATGTCCTCACGAATGAATCAAGACGTGCTGTCATCACATGAACACGTTTTTTTTTTCTAGGATTCAATTTACAGGCTCATTTCATATAGCGCACTTCTTTATATATTTCCAAAGAAATTCCGAGCAGTTCTAATCAATTGATTATTGTATAGAAATTTTATTAGCTTCCTCAAAGGACCCGTTAATCCGGGGATAAATACTTATAAAAATTTAACAATGCACTGACTATAACTGCCTGTCACTGTGCAATTAACTAGATGTTCCAGGGTTCGATCAGCAAAAAGAGACCTAATTCGGCTGCGCACAGCTATTTATAGTGGCATATGGTCACGTGTTAACTGGCTCAGGATTTCGCTTCTATATCCTTATAAGGAACGCAAAATCACCTAGACCCGTTAAACAGACCACGCCTCTCGAAATTCATCTAGAACATTCATGTGATGTCACATCCACTCTTGTAAATTATTCGACAGAAATCATACACTAACTCCATCTATCATACTTCCCAAACACATCTATCAGTTTCTCTAAGCTTCGTATGCTTTCTTTAAGCAGCCAACAATATTCGATGATTTATGTGTATGAAGATAGATGGCGCAATTCAAAATAATAATAATATTAAAAGAAAATTATCTATAAAATTATTATGCTACAACATAACCTAAAAGCAGCGTGGCTGTTTTAACAAATCGTCAAGTTGTTAAGAATACCAATTATCATGGCTAGTAGCAATCCTCTGGCACTTATAGAAAAACTAACAGGCCGAGAAAACTACAGTACCTGTCGGTTTGCTGTTAAAACATACCTCCAACATGAAGGGCTTTGGGAATGTATTGAAAATCCCAACAACGAACCAATTGACCGAAAAAAGGACATAAAAGCAAAATCCAAAATCATTTTACTTGTCGACAGTATCAACTTCGTACATGTCCAAGAGGCAGAAACAACAAAAGAAGTGTGGAAAAACCTGTCCCGCGCTTTCGACGACTCAGGGCTTACACGCAGAGTTGACCTACTACGCGATATCTGTACAACTACACTCTCTAGTTGCCAAAATATAGACGAATACGTGAGCATGATAATGTCTACAGCGCACAAACTCCGAAATATAGGATTCGAAGTTGATGATGAGTGGCATGGAACACTTTTACTCTCTGGGTTACCTGAACATTATAAACCAATGATCCTCGCTATAAAAAGTTCAGGGATGAAAATAAGCGCAGACTCTGTTAAATCTAAATTGCTCCAAGAAATAAAATCTGAAAACAGTAACTCTGCTTTTACATCTGCTCATGGTTCTCAAACCAAGAATATGAAAAAGAAGTTCAACAAAGGTCCTAGATGTTTTCAGTGTAATAAATATGAACACAAAAGTCCAGAATGCAGGTCAAAACCGAAAGAAAAGGTTGCTAAATCAAATAGTTCATATGCTGCCGCATTTGTCACTCCGTTTGACAACAACAGCTCAGCATGGTATATTGATTCTGGGGCAACCATGCACATGACAAACATCAAAACCTTCTCCAAAATGAACACTCACCACCTATAGAGCAAATCAAAGTTGCTAATAACAAAACACTTACAGTGAGTAGCTCTGGTGATGTGACCTTGAATACATAGAATGGAGAAAATCAGTCAAACATAATTTTATTTACAAATGTCTTGTATGTACCAGAACTTGCAGTGAATTTAATATCTGTACATCAAATTACAGAAAATGGTGGTCAAGTTAAATTTGATTCTAAAAGCTGTGTTATACTGAACCAACAAAATGTTATTGTAGCAACAGCAACAAAAGTTAACAACATGAAATCAAATCAGAAATCAGAAATCAATATATCTTTATTCAAATTGGATGTATAGTACAACACTTTTGAATCGTCCAAACATTTTTTTTCCCTACCACTCGTTATTGGACATATTTTTTAGCTGCGGAGAAAAACGAGCGAAAAAAACTCCACAACATTAAAAGCATAATGTAACAACATTTACAAATCATTATGTTGTTACAACGTCAATACAATCATGATTTATTTAATATAGAAAACCTGTTGGAATGATTGGAACAGTTCAAACCCAAGCATTTTTGTCTGTAATGTCAGACACTTTGTAATAAGCTTTTTTAATAAGTGCTTTTTTTATACTATCTTTGAATTTAGTTATGCTTAACTCTTGGATATTGCTTGGGACTTTATTGTATAAGCGAACACAAAGACCTTTAAATGAATTATTGATTTTGTGAAGCCTAGTAGCAGGTAAAGTTAGTTTATTTTTGTTTCTTGTATTAAGTGTGTGAACATCACTGTTTTTAAGAAACAAATTAATATTTTTTCTTACAAGTAATAAATTTTCGTAAATGTATTGTGATGCGACCGTCATTGTACCAAATTCTTTAAACCTATCTCTTAAGGAATCCTTAACTTTAAGATTATAAATTGATCGAATAGCTCTCTTCTGCAGCACAAAAGTAGTTTGAATGTCGGCGGCGTTTCCCCACAATAAAATTCCGTACGATATTACACTATGGAAATAACTAAAGTATACTAATCTGGCCGTATCTACATCCGTTAACTGGCGTATCTTCATTACGGCATATGCTGCAGAACTAAGTCTATTTGACAATTTATCAATATGTGGGCCCCATTGAAGCTTAGAATCTAAAGTAATCCCTAAGAATACTGTGGTGTCTACAAAGCCCATATTCCTATCCTTTACATGCACACTGGTTTTTACCTGTTTTACATTAGGTAATACAAATTTAATACATTTCGTTTTTCCTTCATTTAGTAATAAATTATTAACATTAAACCAGTGGACTACCTTAGAGATACAACTGTTCACGTCGTCAATAACTGTTTCCTTACGTTTGAGTTTAAATAAAAGTGATGTATCATCCGCGAACAATACTATCTCATGCTTATCTCTAACGTAGTAAGGTAAGTCATTAATATAAATTAAAAATAAGAAAGGACCAAGGATTGAGCCCTGCGGAATACCCATTTTAACCGGCGAACCCGCAGACTTATTGCCGTTAATGTCAACCCTCTGAATCCTATCCATCAGGTATGACGCAATAAGATCCAGATCAGTATCTCTAAATCCATAGTGGTGGAGTTTCCTGAGTAATGTTTCATGAAAAACGCAATCTAAAGCCTTGGACAAGTCGCAAAACACACCTAGAGCGTCCTGCGAGTTCTCCCAGGCGTCAAAAATTTGTTGTATAAGTTCAACACCGGCATCGGTTGTTGAACGACCCCGTGTAAAACCAAATTGTTTACAGTGAAGTATATTATATTTATTAAAATGTGATTGCATTTGATCTAACATGATTTTTTCGAAAATTTTACTAAAGGTGGGTAGCACAGAAATTGGTCTAAAGTTTGTGGGGTCTGATGTACTTCCCGTTTTATGCAAAGGAGTTATTTTACTGTATTTCATGAGGTCAGGAAAAACACCACAGTCAACACAATCATTAAATATGCAAGCTAGAATAGGAGCTATTGTCTCAATTACCGATTTAGAAACAACAACGGAATTGCCCCACAGATCCGTGGTTTTCTTTTTATTTAATTGGTGAAACGTTTTAATTACATCTTTGAAGTCAACATGTTTAAAATGAAAATGACTAGTACAAGGTTTCACGTTTTCTCTTAAGATTGATTCGGCAGCAATGGGGGAAGAGTTCAAAGATTTAGTAGTTGAAACTGGAATATCAGTAAAGAAATTTTACGAAAGCTGTAGCAAACTTCAATATCTGAAGTAACCCTTTTATTATCAATATTTAAGTTATAATTATTATTGCGAGTTTTGGATTTTCCAGTTTCATCGTTTATAATATTCCATGTCGTTTTAATTTTGTCATTACTGTTCTTAATCTTTGAACTTAAGTAATTTGATTTTGCTAAGCGGCATACTTTTTTAAACAATTTAGAATAGTTACGAACATGCTCTTTAAATTTTTCACTAGTGTTACAGTTTCTTTCATTATAAAGTTCATAAAGTGTCCTTCTACTTTTATGAATTCCAGGCGTAGCCCACTTAGTAAAAGTTACCGCATCATTAACACAGATTTTTTTGGGTACAAAAACATTATTAAATTCAGTGCAGTATATATTAAAAAAATCATTATATAAATCATTTGGACTGTCTTTATATTTTAGATAACACATTTTTCTATCTAATTGAGTTTTAAAACGTTCCACACGATTAGCAGATTTTGGTACAACAGTGATGTGTTTTTTTGTCACCTGCTTGAGCTGATATGGAAATGTAATCAACTGGCCACAATGATCACTATCTAGTTTATTAATAATTTGTTTTTTCTGTGGTATGATATCTGTATATATATTATCAATACAAGTGGCCGAAGTGGCAGCTATTCTAGTAGGCTCAATGAATAAGTTTTTCAGATTGTATGATTGAAATATTTTTTTTATTTTAGTACTCGAACTAGATTTTTGTAATAAATCAAAATTGAAGTCACCACAGACAATCAACCGTTTGCCTGTAGTGTAAGTTTTCTTAAGAGCTTCATCCATGATCCATGTACCAGGTTAACATGAATACTGATTATGCATGCATGTCTGATGTCTTTTTTTTTCTTTTTTGAATACAATTACTCCATGGGCGTATGCCCATGCCATTATTTAGTTTGACTTTTTTTTAAGTTTTGTTATATACATTTGTTTGTGCATTCAGTGTGGCCTTTTCCATCCCCTTTTTAATGAATATTCTATTATATGTATACGCTTTTTTTTTATTTTTTTTTTCTTTTTTTTTTTCACTTATTATCTATTGTACATGCTTTGTGGAACGAAAGGATTTTCAGTTTATTCTATTTGTGTACCTTGTGTTATGTTTTTGCGGTCTCGGGCTCCTGCGTGAGTTCCCTCTCCTACTCATCGCACGCAAGGGCCCGAGTTTCGCTATCTTTTTGGTAATTATTTAAATTTATTTGTTTATATGGTACAACATTTACTGCTATGTTTTGCTAAATAACATGTAGGTACAGTTTTACTTAAGTCTACTTGTTTCCTTAATCTATGTTAGTACATGTTTGTGTTATTTCCTTATGGTAAAAATATGTCATGTCCGGTATGGGGAGGTCGGTCCAGATTTAGCTGTTTCAGACTTCAGTCAAATTTCTCATTATATTTACAGTGTCAAAGTCTCTCATACGTATCGCACTTTTGGTGTTATAACGGATTATTGTCTCCGTGGCCGCGCCTGTCGTTCGCTTTATGAAGCGGCTTACTGCGTCGTCGCTGTCGTCTGTGTAGTAGCAACAGCTGTGTGTATGTCGAGACACAGCTACCACGGCGTGCGGGATGCTGTCGTGCAGTTTCGTTCGAATCCCCTTGGTTCTTATGATGCAGGTGTTCTTGCATGTTTGTCCCTGGGCTTCGTGTATGGTAAGGATCTTGGATCCAGTCCCACTTCCATAGCCTTTGGCGCTCAAGGTTCCCTTCTCCTCTTGTGTATGTACTAGGTACAGTGTATCTGCGAGAAGGGGTGGGATATTTGCCCCGGTATATCCTGTTAGATGGAGCGACCAGATCCGGGGTCTGTCGGAATATATCCCGTCATACACAGAGCTCAGGGCAAACGCGACATCCAGGGGGTTTCTCCTGGTGCAGAGCAGCTCTCGCGTGATATTTGCCACAACATGCGGGGTCTCGTACCTCAGACGGAACAGGTTTTCTCTGTCAATGTAAGGCAGCTGATTTATGTCGCCCAGAAGTACGACCCTCTATGCTCCTGTTATGCGGGTGATGAGGACTAAGGAGCCAAGGTGGTTCATGAGAGCCTCGTCAACTATGAGACGGTTGTAGCTCTCTTTTGATCTATTTACCTGGAGGGATGCCATCGTCTTTACCTGTCTTGCAAAGTGGTTTCCCCACTTTGCCGATATCCTCCCTCTCAGGTCCCCGGCTGCCTCAGTCGTGGTCGTTATTATTAGGTCGCTCTTCGGGTCGAAGTTTTCAGACATGTCTGATGTTAAACAAGATGATATATTTTTATGGCACCAACGGATGGGTCATCTGAACTTTGCCACTCTGAAAGAATGTACTGAAGGATTAACATTATCTGATAAACAAATGAACAATGTAACTTGTATAAAATGTAAAGAGGGCAAGCAAACTAGATTGCCTTTCAAGAGTCAAGGATCACATTCCTCAAAGCCATTGGAACTGGTGCATTCTGACTTGTGTGGCCCCATGGAAACACAGTCATTAGGAGCAGAGATGTGAAAAATAGTTTAGTAAAAGTATTTAAATACAACATGCAAATGCATAGTTGCTAGCACTATTTCAAATAGAAATACAAAATAGTTTTGAATAAAAGTATTTAAATACAAAATGCAAAATACGTATTTTTAAAATAGGTTTTGAAAATAAAATACATTGTTAAGCATAACCACTTTTATTTATTGAACTGATTTTAAAACTAGTATTTGTTCAAAGATGTTCCGCCTATGGGGCCTCATAATCATTCCACCAAATGAAAATAGTCGTTCTACAGGGGCAGAACTCGGTAAGCAGGTATTATATTTAAGGAAGAGTTTTTTTACAGTAGGATACCTGTTCAAGGATTCTAAGGTATTGTCTTCATCTTTTAAATATTGTAGTGTTTCCAGATCTATTGTAGTTGTATTAACATTATCACTGGCTGCTGAAGAATCCGAGTCCTCAACAAACATATAATAAGATTCTGTCCTTTCCTTCTTTTTATAAGAGTCAGTATGTTGGGAACTCTTTTCGTCTTCTTGTTTTATCTTCTCACTTCTGACACAAATACTTCTTTGATGTATTCTCTGTTGGCTTTTGGCACCCATTTCATTTTGAAAAAGGGATAAGATACTGATGCTATTATGCCATCTTTTGCTTTTGGCTCTTCTAATTTATAAAATCTCTCAAAATGCCTATTAAGACTTTCTGTAATGACATCTATTAATACATCACAATATGTAAGGTTATCCATTTTCAAGCTGCTTAGAATTCTTTGCATTCTCATCAGTTCTGGTAAAAGACATCCATAGTAAGTATCTTTGTCCCCTTCTAAACTTCTGATGCCATCAGCAATAGGCTTTGAACAGCTTACATATTCAAGAAGAAATTGAATTTCAATTTCTTTAAAAATAGGCAACCCTAGTTTCTTAAAAGTTTCATTTAGGGTACCCTTGACTGCCAATAGATCTTGAATGCAATTATAGTATGAATTCCATCTTGTTGGACATGGATAAGTAGGGGATTTTCCAGTTGATTCCAGATATATTTCACAGGCTTTAGGGGACCTCGAACATAGATTCCAAACTGCTCGACATTTTGCCATAGCTGTATCATACATTTTTTTGTATGAATTATTTTGGGATCTAGCCTTATCCATATCTTGTGAAGCTATTAAATGTAATGTGTGTGTGGCACACCTTTCATGATTAGGCAGTTGCAACTCATCGAATTCTTCAAATGACTCCGAAAATTGTCTTAGGGTTAACACATTATCATCATCATCATCTCCATCGTCAATATTATCATGCATTACATCAATATTTTGCATAAGAGTTCCTTTACTTATTCCTGTATCTGAATCTTGTCCATATATTCTAAAAGCTTTGACCATATTTGATCCATTGTCCGTAATAGTCTTTATTATTTTTGACAGTTTCAAATCAAATTCAGAATGAATCTCTGCAATCAGCTCAGCTACTTTATCATAACTATGTGTTCCCTTGAATCTTCTGCAAGCCAAAGTTACACTTTTCCGATTAAATTTATCACAATCAATCCAATGAGCAGTTACCCCTAGATAGCTTCTCTTAGATGATTACCATATATCAGCTGTGGTGCATATAAAATCAACCTTTCTCAATTGTTCTTTTGTATTTTCTATATATTCTGTGTATTGTTCTGCATTTTTTTTATTACATGTTTGCCTGCACATTATTTTCGATGGAACATTTAATTGCTGTGCACCTTCAATTAGAGCCTTAAAGGATTTATTTTCTACAATTGATATAGGTGACATGGTCTCCACTAAAAAATTCACAAGTAACTTGTCGAAATTAACTGACTTTGGTAAGATGGCTGGAAGAGTGGATTGTTTCAATGTTTTAGATGAACTGCATCCCTCACCAGTATCACCAACATTTTTCCTCTTCCTGTTATGTTGTATTTTGAGTTTCTCATACTCTTCTAATATATCAGCATGTCCTTTTCTCTGCAAAAGTATAATTAATAGTTTAAAGCATAGAATATCTGCGATTATATTATTTCATATTACATAAAATCCTATTTATTAGCTAATCAGTTTTGAAATCAAAATAATTTATTTAACAAAATAAAATACAATTAAAAATTTTAGCTTTACTTACTTTTAAATGGTTCAAAAAGTTGGATGTAGAATTCAAACTTCCTTTTAGTGTTTTCGAACACTTTTTGCAAGTTCCAGATATATTTACGTCACTTCCAGGATCATTTGTAATGTCTTTGAAGAAGTGTTTTAATATGAATGGAATGTTCTTGTCCCTGAAAAAATAAGAGGTTATACATCACTTACTTATGTACTGTACCTACAATATACATATAAAAATGAATCCCTTGGACACGGCATCATCACGCGTAAACGGCTGGCACAGACATACACAGGCTGACAGACAGACGAACAAAGTGATCCTAGGGTTCCGTTTTTAGTTTCTTTCGAGGTACGGTAAAAATTAAGAATGGTGCTTGATAAAATAAAGAAATTGAGTAAACTCAACGGCCACGTTAACTTTTTTTACGACAGGACAACGTCTGTCGTAAGAAGCTAGTGTATAATAAATAATAGCTTATCGTGCAGATTAAGGGTTAGTAAATAAATGTGTTATTTCAATAAACACGTAAAATCCATGAATTAAACAATAACATAGAATGATGCGATATTGTTATCAACTAACGTTGTTCGATATCGGTTAAATTATATTTTAGGTTAGGCTAGTAAAAATAACAATAATTAGGTACTTAACTAAACTACTTGATGCTTAGTTACAAATTATTTATAAAAGTGATGTATTACTTACATTTTAATTATTTATATCCAGCAAGCGAAGAAAACTGAGAAAAATCACAAACAAAACTAATAATCTATTGTTTTAAACTTTCATGGTCACTAACATTATAGTAATATAAGTTATTTACGGGATTGTTACCATGTACCTTGTTTTTAGCGAGTTTCCGATATTTCGGCACTGTTGCAAGCGCCATGATCACGGAGTAACTGAAGTAATTGCGGGTAGGCTGTTATTGGCAGACATATCGGTCTACCCTCCGACGAAGTCTTTTATTGCGTTCAATACCCGTACCACTGTTCACATTCTCACTATTCACTCGAAACTGTTCTCGACACACAACACTTACAGTATCGGATCGCGACACGACACTTTTTTGATTATTTGCGGTTTTACACATACGAACCACAGGATTCCAGACACTCGACAATTTAAACCCGTCCTCACGATTGAAATTTTTATGTTTTGTTATTTCAATCGCTTCCCTGACCAATCTTGGTATGACAGAACGCCACTACATACCAAGATTAGTCAGGGAAGCGAAATACCCGAAATGGGTATAAAATATAGCTAAAATAATTCATAATTTTCACACTTTAGAATATTACAGAAAAATAAGAACCTAAATACAATAAACTTGATAAATTTCTTAACATTTTTGGCATAAACATTTGATAAATAAAGTGTATTTAACAAAGAATTAAAATGTTTTTTTATGTAGGTAAAACGAAAGTAACAGTTGCAACGGCAATAGATTTTTGTTGATATACAGAGTAATGCACGGTACAGAGACAAAGTTGATTGAGAATACACTAAAAACACACAACTAAAAACAAAAAGCAGATTCCTGTGGAAGTCAGTCAGACACTTTTGGCTTGACCTTGGTGAGATCAATATCGGAGCGAATTGCAAATATTGCGCTGGTTTCATCACGGCGCACCAGGATGACTCCATGCTTAACCCATACAAAGCGTATCCATGTTTTTTTGCAGCTTCTCTGGTCTGACGAAACAAGTTTTTATTGTTCAGTGTGAGATGTTCATTCAAATAAACATTCTGGGGCTTTCCAGGCAACTTTAATGCTTCAGTGGTGAGACCTTTTTTCAGGCGGACTGCAGCTATAAAATTATCTCGGATAATCTGGCTACAGAATTTAACCACGATATTTTTCGGTTTCGGTAGGTGTAATTTAGGAACACGATGTATGGATAAAATATCACGATCACCCAAAGGCAGATTTAGAACACTCGCCATATTTTCAATTAATGAAACAAGATTTTCTCCCCGTTTTTCGGGTAAGTTGCTGATTTCCAAATTGCAACTTCTCGCTCTCTGTTCCATAGACTCTAGTTTACTCTCCAGCTCAATAATTTTCACCTCATTTTCCTTTGAAGACCACATTTTTTGTTCCAACTCAGAAATACGAGTGTTAATGACTTTGGTCTTATTTTCAAGGTCATATATATGTATATTTGTCGCTCAAAAATTGGATAGATGTTTTGACATTCTCAAATTCGAGAATAAAATCTAGGCATATTAGTAGACGACAATATTATGTCTACATTTTAGTTCAAAATAATTTACAAGGCAGAGAAGCCATTAAAGAATATTTCTGCAATTGCATTATGGGACGTCTCACTGTTGGATGTTGTGCACATGTCATGACATTAGTGTGGTTTCTTGGGTGGGCTAGACATCAAGATAATATTGTTCCTCCAGCAGCTTTTCTGGATGATGTTGTAGTAAGGGAAGACTTTGATTAAATATATTTTCATGTTATCAAAGTTATTTTATTTCTTGTCTTATGTCGGCCTACCTCTTCCTCTATACTTGTTTTAATACTTAATGGAAGGTATTGTAATTTTAGATTATTACCTACTTATATACTTGTCTACCAAAGATTTAAATAATACATAGTTAAATGTCTTAGATGTCTATAGATATAATTAGGTAAAGGTCAAGATTATCATTTATTCATTCGCTTGCAGAAACTAAGACATTAAGTACCTACTATTTCAATAAAATAATTGAAACTGAATTATTGATTAAATATAAAAAAAAATTGTTTAATTCCAAAGACAATATTATAAGGATGACACCTCAGCATGATACATGTTATGATATTAATCCTTTTTCTTCAATCCTCAGATCAAGCTTCAATCAAACAAAACAAATTAAAATTTTATTTAGTCATCCCCCACAAATATAGTAAAAGGCGCCCTCGGTATTAGTTTTGTGTATTGTGCGAAGCCCTAAGCTGCCGGTGGTAGCAAAAATTGTTACAGGTTGTCTTGATAAAATTTGCAAAGAGATCCCGAGATTTGAGATTTCTGAGAAAGAATTACATTTTCTATTGACAGGAACAAGATAATGTGGTATGGGTCTCAACATTGAGGGATGGTCGCCCAGAATCTGATGGCTGTAGAGAAGGAGAGATCTGCTGTTGAGGCAACCTCTTGGAACAACAAAGCTTGCGAAGTTGCACAGGCCTATGAATGACTGCACTTGCCTTAATGATGCACTCATCCGTGACAGAAGTTTTAGACTTTGCTGTCGAATTTTTAGCACCTTGTCGGAGGGTAGATATTTCCTGTTTTTCCAGGGATTCCACTGGATGCCCACAAACTCTATATATCGTTGCGGATCCACAACAGATTTTTGGAAATTTATTGTCTGGTCCAGTTCGCGGAAAAAAGATATTGCAAAAGTTACCTGTTGTTACAGTACCCTTAGATTCTGATGTGCGAAACAAAAATCGTGCAAATATACCAGGATCCTGATACCCCTGCTTCGGAGTACCTCCGCCACCCAATTCGTTATCGTTGCAAAAACTTTTGGCGCTGTTGATAACCCCAATGGGAGGCAGGTCATTTGCCACAGAGGGTGCCGCTCGTATGGCAGTATTACTCTGAGGAAGCGACGGTGTTCCGGTTTTAAAGAGACGTAAAAATAAGCATTGTGAAGGTCTAATTTTACTAACCAGTCGTTTGCTTGGAGAAAGTCGGGAACACTGAACATGTTGACTAATCGAAATTTGCTTATGTGGACAAAATTGTTTAAAGGTTTTAAATTAACACTGGCTGCATTGTGCTATTTGCTTTTGGTACTAGAAAAATATTCGACACAAAGCTTGGTGTTATAGGAGCTGGCTCCAGAACACCCTGGTGCTGCAGTTGTTTTACCTCCTTTATTATAGAAAAATTTTTACTCGTGTGAAACAGAGTCGATATTCGATGTGGATGCACTAACGGAGGTTTTTTTTTTATAAACGGTGTTCTGTATCTTGATATAATTTTTAGGACATGATTCGGGGCTTCCCACTTTTTCCAACGAGTTAGATAACGTACTAATCGACCCGCTTGAAATGACGGGTAGTCAATCATTACGTCTTTGGGAACGCTTATCTTGTTGTTTTTTATAATATTTGTCCTTATCCTATTTAACCTTCGGACCGTAAGGGCTCTGCTCTGCGCTTTTCCCTTGCGCAGGGGGTGCGAAGGTAGCAGTGCTGGCTGATGGTTCACTCGTAACTTGCACCCGGCTAGATGAAGAATCAAAAGGTTTACGCGTCCTTCCTAGCGAAGCTCTTTGCGCAAGAGCTTTCTTGGAAATAAGTGAAACAGGTGGCACATTAGTAGTGCAGACTACTAATGTGCCACCACTTTTATCATCGAAAAGATTTCCAAAGTTGGAGGGATCTTCCTTAAGCACATACTTATCCTTTACGTAGTGTAAGGGGCTATCGCGACGCTGTTGTATAATGTCAGCACGACGCCCACATACTATTTGCAATAGATCAAGGTTAGTTTTAGTATAATCGCCCGAAAATTTTTTGTTTATTTTAGACAAAACTAGCAAACCCGGCGAACTCCGTTTCGCCACCAGATGGCTTCTTTTTATGTAACATTTCCTTTGGTGATTAAAAGAAGTTTTTTTTTTATAATTTTTCCAGAATTTTCTTTGCTATAAACCCCACGGAGCCCGAGACCTTTCCAACGAATGCAAAACCGTGGAAATCGGTTCGTGCGTTCTGGAGTTATAGCGTCAGGAAGGAAAACCCGACTTATTTTTATATAGTAGATATCCTGAGCCGTAATTTGTTGGTGTGACTCCATCTAAGAAACTAAATTCAAAAAACCTTGTTGGAGATGTTCATTTTGAATAATCAAGCCATGTCAAAGAGCAGCTAGTGTCTTTTCTGTAGCCGCTAACGATTTATTACGCTCAAACCTTTTTAGCATGTCATTACTTTCTAATTCGATAAAACCTGAACTAGACAAATAGCATTTCTGGGCTACCGTAAAACGAACCTGGCACCAATCGTCAGTATCAAAATGTTGCAATTTCAATAACATTTCTGCGTGTGCATCAGAATTTTTTGCACCCGGTGATTTGAGGGTGATTTGAGTTTCTTGCTTAAAGTTCAAATTATTTATTTATTTATTTTGGTTAAATGAAATACCAACAGCTTATCTTAATATACTAGAAATGAGTAGTAGCGACAAAGAGCCAATTACAGGTCCTCACATCTAGACATAACGTAGATAATCCTGAATAACCTTTATGCATGTTCTACGATTTTCCGTAGTTTTCGAGTTATGACTGATTTATTTTTTTAAAACAAAGAAAAAAATAATGTATTATTTTTTTGCTTTTTCCTTCAATGATTTTATAAAATCTTATATTATTACGCGGGATTACTCTGTGTTTACATCTGAGGACAAAGGTGATAATTTTGTTTGTCTAATCATGTATCCAGCAAAGTGATAAAACAAAATGTGGCCTGCATCTATGCTATCGACATTACTGTACACAAATTCTACACTAATATAATAAAGAGGTAAGTTTGTTTTTATGTTTTTTTATTTATAGGAGGTAATCTCTGAAAGAACTGGTCCGATTGCAAAAAACACCGATAGATAGCTGCTTTATTCCTGAGTGACATAGGCTATATGAGTCGTATAGTATCAAAAACTAGTGTCTTATATGTAAGCAACTGTTAAAAATTAAAATAAGGAAAATCGTCTAGGCCTGTCGGTTTAGGTAGTTAACTAAACGTAAACAATCTTGGTATGTCTTTTTATTTCAAGAAAGTGGTATAAAAGACATACATAGATTATTTAAATTTAGTTTATTACCTAACTTTAATTTAGGTAAATACCTAATTGTAAACATTTTTAGATAAAATTTTTAGCCAACCTTTAGATTAAAAGACATGCCAGGATTGTTTACATTTAGTTAACTACCTAAACCGACGGAATGTTGACTCTAGGATTATCTGTCTCAAGGCACCAGCTGTACTATACTTTTGGGACATATAATATGTAGACACGTATAACATAGGCAGTTAGACATATCTAGATTGATATGTTACATTCGTATCAATTAAAATAATTTATTTTTTAATAAAATATTTTTCTATAATAATAATAATAAGTGTGAACTATAAAAGTATTTACTAGTGATTATTAAATTTACGGAAAAGGTATAGGAATACATATAATAAATAAATCAAAGACAATTTTAAGTACAAAAACTATATATTTCGGACTTCAAAGCGATACATTAATCTATAATGTTTAATTATGATTACTTAATTAAAAATAAAACCTTTAAGATTTGATAAAAACATTGTTTTTTTTTCTTTATGTACCTAATCATTACGGATATAAAAATACAATAAATGCTCATTTAAAAAAAAATATTCTGAATAATAACTTTGAGCTTTTACTTATTAAAAATATTATTACTACGTATGAATAGTAAATCTTCAATGACGTCGTCTTTCATGGAGTATCTGCAATTAGATACTACAAACTTAAGTGAAGAAAATCACCTCTCTACACTAACTTGTGTCATTGGTGCAGCTAATACGATGGTAGATAATTTGTACAAAAGAGGAAATTTATAACGTGACCTTTCCCAGTACATCAAGACACTTTCTGTAGACTGAAGAAGTGGCTCTTTTAAAAAGGCATCAAAAGATTCCTGTAAACTGTTCAGCACGTTACGGTCATTTCAATCTAAGTCTAACAAATCCATTAAATCATCGTGTCTATTTATATAACTTGCATTTAAGAAATCGTCTAGTTCAATCTGCGCTGCAGAATGGTCATTTGTTGTTGTACTATTGATGTTAATATTACTAATATTATTTTCTTTGTTTATCTGTTCCAGTTTAAAATCTGTTAAGTATTGTAGGATTAAGTTTTCTTTTGCTTTTTTTCTGTTGTACAGATGTCAACACTGAATTTACTCTTGGGTCTAAAATCATTCCATTAATAAAAACATGATTTTCAAATAGAAGTTTTTGCCTTTCTTTCATCGATTCAATTATGTTTTCGGACAGTCTGGTCTTTATTTTGGATAACTGGAATTGGCACATCATCCATGCCAGATAAAAATCTCTGACTGTCAGTTGTTCCTCCTGTAGTTTTTTTGTCAACTGTTTTGCAGGTGTCAAAGATTTCAGGATTTCTGTCAAAGTATTCCATGTCGAGTCAGGTAAATGAAGCCGGACATCAGTTGCACATATATCTCTCAGCGATAGCAAACTTTCTACCATGTCAGTTAGAGAATGCCATCGGGTAGAGCAGTCTAATTTAGGTACATTTTTGTTATGTTCTCTAATAATTCTCACAAACTGTGGTGTCCGCAAGCGTCGTACAACTTCTCTACAACTCGAAATCAGATTAAAAAAGGCTACATCATCACAAGCATCATGTAGCGCTAACTGAAGAGCATGTGCGGCACATCTTACTATGCCAATTTTATACTCAACATTTTCGCCAGTGATATGAGTAAACTGCGCTCTGAGTATATTTGTTAATTGTGCAGTATATGCTTCTTCAACGTCAAAATAAAAATCAGAATTTTCAAAGTCTGAATCAGAAACATTACATATATCTGCGTTTTCATCATCACATTGGCTGGAGCTGGGGCCGGCCTCTATAGTGTTCCTGTCAAGGGTAACACAATTGTCCATATCGTTAAGGAGCTTGGTCATTTTAATCATGTTAGCGCCATTGTCAGTTGTGATGCAATATTTTTTTTTATTAATTTCCGTGTCAATACGGAACCGCTGAAGGTTGTACATCAGTAGATCTTTGAGGTGCTCTGAAGTATGGCGCTGAAAGATTTCGATCACTCCTAAATTTCTTAATACAAGCTGTCCCTCCATTAAATATTGACAATTAATCCCCATAAAACTTCTCGTTGCAAGCGAAGCGATGTCTATTTTCAGCGAATATAATTTTATCTTGTAACGTAAATGCTAATTCATCTCTCATTTTTGTAGCCAGTAAGCGCACATTTTCTTTAATATTAATAGCGTTAATAGTGCTGGTATTTTTTCCGGGTATCATAGATAGCAAATTTTGGAAAGCTTTATCGTTAACCATTGAAAAGGGACGACCATGAATGGCTACCAAATTGGTGCATTCCTTAAGCACAGTGTCAGATACAGTAGTTGACTTAGTGGCCATATCGGGATCTTGACGACTATTATTAATTTCTAAGATTTCTTTATGTATATCTTTATGCACATGCTTTAAATGTTTTAGCAAATTTGCGCCATGCTGCGTCTGCAATAGAAAAAAAAATGCAAAGCAAACTGGCAATAATACAGAATTAAGAACACAGAGAAAACAGCATTTTTGGGGTTTTGGGTTTTTTTAAAGATACAGATTGAAACAGCACCAGCACCAGAAGTGACGGGAAATTCAAATAAAAACCAGCCAAGTGCGAAACGGTTTCATATGCAAGTTCCAAGCGAATCTCATTTTTGTTTCATCATTGGAATTCGTTTGTGCATCGATGTCAAAGAGACCTTGTATAAGTATTTCTAATAGGTTATCCTGTAATCTACACAAAAACAAAATAACTATTATTTGTATATTTTTTCAGAATTTTAGACTCAGTAGTTTCGAAGATAAGGGGGGGGGGGGGGGGGGTCATTCGGTACAAAATTGTGCCATAAACAACAATCATTCATTTCATAATAACTGACCGAAAACAGCAAAATGTTAGGTACTTTTTATTTGAATATCCCACAACGAATGGTTCGAATTATCTAAACACGAATTAAATATAGGATAGTAGGTACCACAACCAAAGAACAACAGGCTGTTCACCTGCACTAGCACTAGCATAATGCTACGCAGCCCAAATGCAAACTCCAAGCACAAATTAAAATTACGTTACGTTGAGCAAACAGAAAATAGTAGCGTATTCGCATGTAAACACGTAAAACACAGGCAAGTAGGTAGGTATGAAGTAAGTGCCAATTTGCCAAGCTGGTGAAATATACTATGCTTCAACTAAGAACAGGATGACATTGGCGACGTATTGTAACTTCATGCACGTTTTCTTATAATCTTCCTTTTATTTTCTTTCTTATATAAACAATAATCATATTAAAATAACACTAACAAGATAATAACGATAATAAACATTATTGAAAATTAATTTGCACAAAGTAGATATTTTTTGTTAAACGTAATTGTTATCACTATATTGCGCCAAGGTCATCTTATAGGTACTTAGTTGAAACGCATAAACACGTTAGTCGGGCCGCACACCAGGTATACATTTGTAACTCGATAATTGTAGCGCCACATTTGAAACGCGACACATTTAACGGCCCCATACATTTGTACGTGAGCACGCACACCGAGGAAACATTTGTGGCGGGCGCACTTTGTAGCGAGACGTTGTCCGCGCTACACGAATTCAACATCGAACACGTTCGTTTTTTGTGTCGCGTTGGTTTGCAAAAATGAAAGACAACATTGAATTTTACGTTGACTTTATTGCAGAGGTTGAAAAGAACCCTGTATTATACAATCACACGCTCAATGATTATAGTAACAGACGGATTACAGAAATTATTTGGACTAAGATTGGCGAAAAATTCAATGAAAAGAGTAAGTAGGTACCTACCTTTCTTTGTACTTTTAAAATCGTGCTACACTGTGTAATTATTTTGCCATGACACCAGCCCGTATGGTTTTAAGAAGTAATTACACAAATAATTTCGATTTTCTGTAGCATCGTTATTCGGTCTCCCTTGATTCATATGATTGGTAGTGGGGTTAGGTATATTTCCGTTTTCGGTTGGAGTTAAAATTATATTATCATTCTTTTTTATAAAGTTATGTAAAATACAAGCAGCTTTAACAATTTTTACTGCTTTCTCGACTGAACATGAAATTGGAGTTTCAAAAATTCGAAATTTAGACACTAGCATACCAAAGGTGCACTCGACAATCTTTCGTCCACGGGATAGTCGATAGTTAAATATTCGGCGATCATTGTTTAAAAATCTACTATTGTACGGTCGAATTATATTAGTGGACAGGGGAAATGCTTCGTCAGCTGCAAAGTAATAAGGAAATGACTGTCCAAATTCTTCTTCACCTGGCAAAGGCCGTGGCGTAGGTATATTTAAAGTATTATTATTTAATTCTCGGCCTAATGCGGAATTTTTAAATACTCCTGAATCATTATTCCTCCCATAATCACCCACATCGATACTCGTAAATAATCCGCATCCATCTGCACACGCCATAAGGTTAATAGAAAAATATTCTTTATAATTAAAGTATGAAGATCCAGAGGCTATAGGCTTCTTCATTCTAATATGTTTTCCGTCAATGGCTCCAATGCAATGTGGTAAATGCCATCTTTCGAGAAATCCTTTTGAAATATCTAGCCAATCATTTATTGTGGGTATTTTCATGTACATTGGCTGTAAAACTGTCCATATAACTTCACAAGTTTCATCGATAATTTTTCCAATAGTTGTTTCACCTCTTTTAAATACGTAAGACATTGCTTGAAATGAGGATCCAGTTGCCAAGTACCTGAAACAATTCGTGTAATTTGATTGATTAGTTTAATTGACAATACTGATTTTTGCAGGTGATGATTGTAAGTCCAAATGGAAATCCATACGTTCAGCCTACATACGATCTCTGAATACAAAATCTAAAAGTGGGTCCGCTGCTGGGTCGAAAAAGGAGTACTATTTAGCGCCATATTTGAAATTTCTAAACCCTTTTACAAAAAACCGACCACAAGAGGGTAATTTACCAGTACAAGAAGATTGGGATTCATGTTCAGAACGTTGTTCACGTTCTGAACATGAATCCCAATCTCATGAATCTCAATACCAGATTGAGGAAACTTCAAACAATGTTCCCGATTTCACATCTGCCGAGGAAGATTCACTGAGAAATGAAATGCCTGCAGCTGGTTCGTCTGTACCCAGTCCCCATTCTTCGAGCTTATCAATACAGACTCCTCAACCATCAAAATCTCAGAAGCACATGAACGAAGCAGACAGATGTACTATTGAATATTTTATACTAAAAAAACAAAGACTGGAAAATAATAAACAATCTGAGAAACAACCAAAAGATCCATGTGAAATGTTTCTTTTAAGTTTAGTTCCACACATGACATCCATGTCCCAGCAACAGCAATTAAGCTTTCAAAGAGGGGTACTGGACTTAATAGAAAACATTAAGTACAGGCAGCTCCCACGTCGATCATTGGATACGAGTTCGTCAAATTCAAATTTATCAACATTTTATACAAATTTTTCTCAAGTTCTAAATGATGACCGTCCGTTGCAAAGGGCATCCGAGATTCCTCAATCAGAAAACCAGTATGTGAGGCCTTCGCAAGCACCATATATAATTCTTCAATCAGAAAATGAATGTATTGAGTCCCCTGCACAACAATCAAACGAGACTTCTCAGTCTGAAAGTCAATATGTATTACATACCTTAAAGTGATGAGCAAACGCTCTTCAGCCGAAATACGCTCTCTGAAGTGGGTATTTTGTTTTGTTAAACTTAATTTAACTAAATTTAATAATAGCTTGTATGTGTTTTCAGACATTCGATAATATAACTGGAACTTTTCTTCATCGGATTGTAATTCTTGCGAAATTTTGAAATTCCCGTACATTGTGCAATCTTGATTAAACGGATGAACCCAATAATGTCTTTTTTTTCTCATTAATCGCCACATCAAGAAATCTTCGTCATCAGACGACGATGTCGACATTGCTTTGCGGTGCCACGCTACAACTGTGCTTCCGATGTGCGCATTTACAATACATTTGTAGCGCATACAATAATGTGTCGCGTTTCAAATGTGGCGCTACAATTATCGAGTTACAAATGTATGCCTGGTGTGCGGCCCGACTTACTTACACACTGTGTAGATACCGACTGAGCGAGACGCACGCAAACCAACTCTAAGGGCCAAAACAAAACACATGTAGGTATTTGTGTATGAGTGTATGTATGTGAAGGCACATACTGATCGGAAAGGCTGACTTAGCTAGAAATTATTATTTGCATCTTATAATTTGCTTAATTCGGGTTTTTTAACCACAGTGTAGCGGCGTTCGACCCTGGACGTGCCTGGACGTCGGAGTTTTTATGACATCGTAATGTGTGTAATGTGTTTTGGCCCTAAGATGTAGTTTAGGTAGGTATACTTAGTAGGTAGGTAGCCGACCGACGGCGACAGTGGGACCAATTGAAGTGGTTGACTGTGAAATAACATTATTTTATTACTTACAATAAGTTTGAAAATGAAGATTGAAATATAAAAATATCTCATTCTTCAAACGAAATCTTGTAGGTATCATCTTTATACCTAGTTGTTACAGTCGACCGCATGGTAATAACATTTTGACCTTGAACTGGTTTAGCGAGAGGAGTTTTATAAAAATAAGAGACCAACATATGTTGAACATGTATATGCTCTCTTGCATTAGCATTAAGTCCATGGTTTATGTTGTGTAGCCATAGACTACTTTTTATATAGATGTATTGTCTCTGCCCTAATCGTTCTCTTGGAAAAATGTCGTCATGTAGGGATTTTGCTGTTGCATTTAGATCGCTTGCTATCCATGTTAATATTGTTTAATTTGCATCGTATAGTGTTAAATATTACCGATTCATATTCCTTGCAAAGTGTAATATTTGTATTTGAGAATACAAGCGTATACTTTGAAAAGTGTCTGCGTTTCAATTGTCGCCGCCGTCACCACCTGCTCCAGAACGAATTGCTTTTATGCCTTTGTGGATTTTGACGTTGTCCTTCACCACTGCCAGCTCTCACTGTTTTTACAGGTTATGGGCCCAGTCCCAAACCTGGTGGGGAGCACGGACAAAACCAAGAAAGGTACAGCCACGTGTGCATTTCTGTTCTTCATAGTTGTGACGAATTTTACTCTATTGAGCGGCAGTTTTCAGTACATTATCATACCTGATGAACAATCAAATGCCACGGGATTTTTGAATGCAGGATTCCAACTTGAGAAATTGACTGGAGTGGCTAACTATCTGCAATGGAAGTTTTGTATGAAAAATATTTTAACACTTGAGGGAATTTGGTCATGTGTTACTACCAGTCCTGTTATTGATGAAAATAAGGATGCACGAGCATTGGCACGGATATGCTTGTCTGTTCAGCCATCTTGTTATCAGTATGTGCGTGGCACTGTTACAGCAAAAGCAGCTTGGGATACATTAGCAAGTGTTTTTGAAGATAAGGGCCTATACAGACGCGTCCTTTTATTACGGAAACTTCACAACATTGCTTACAACCAATTTACATGCATGACGGATTACATTGAGTCGGTGATGACTCTCTCACAGCAATTGCCTGATATTGGACGTACTATTGAGGACAATGAAATCGCTGAATTGCTACTCAGTGGTCTTCCAAGTCTGGAGACAGCAAACATTACAACATTGCTCACAAACGAGCTTGTACGAAGCCGTTTACTTCAAGAAGAGTTCCGCAAAACCAATAGTAGCAATGGACTGGATGTTGCCAATAAGGCTTTTGTTTCAAAGGAGAAAAAGAGGATTATTTGCCATTATTGCAAGAAATCTGGACATATGCAATCAAAGTGTTACAAGCGCATGAAGGATGAGAGGAGGAAGTAAAATGCCACCACTTTTGTTGCCTCCGCCTACCTTGCAAAACTTGAAGACTGGTATGTGGACTCTGGATGCTCAACACATATGTGTAATGACAGAAGTAAATTTATGAACTTTAAACAGTGCTTAAATAGAAGTGTAGCTGTAGCAAATAATCAATGCTTGGGTTATGGCGATATTAAGTTAGAAACGAATGATAATATGGTAAGAATTATTAAAAATGTTTTATATGTGAGGTACATTTGACGTTGTCCTTCACCACTGCCAGCTCTCACTGCTTTTACAAGATATAGGTAGTCCATAAGATTGTTATAATCGCCATGCAGTCGACCATATAGAAAATCAGCACTGAGTTACATAAGTACAGATAATAATTAAGTATTTTAAAACTTACCTTTAATTTTATTCTACACTCTGGCACTAAACAAGTTGAGGTGTTGTCATCATTTATTTCAAAATATCTATAGACGACATTTCTTTTCTTACGCCCCATGTTGAACTTTTTGTAATCGTTACTCAAAACACAAAAACTAAATCAATTGTAGTAGCTAATCTAAATTGAAGTAATAATTCGCGAGAGTGTTCTGTAAGCGCGTGATAGTTGAGAAGACGACAAACGAAATGGCAACAGCGCGTCAGAGGGGCGCGCG